CCCCAAAACCCCAAAACCCCAAAACCCCAAAACCCCTTCTTGACATCTCCTGCTGAAGTTAATATTTAGCATCAGAAAGTAGCAAGCTGGCTTTGTGAAGGAAGGTCTCTAGCTCTGGGATGAGACTGACAGCTTCTAAGTGCTGCTTTATCTCATCGTCAGCCTTGCGCTTTATCTGGCTCACGCTTTTATCCAGGTAGTCTATTTTTCTACTCTTTTCATTCTGGTTTTTGTCGCATATTTCTAAGCAATCAGAGACACCTCCGATTTTTCCTTGTACCATGATGACTAAATTAATGGCAACAGCAGTGAGTGATACATTCTCTGCTCAGCTGCCTAAGAAATGTCTCATTGCTTTGAATCTCTGGATGTCGTAATTTTTGACGTCTTCTCCACCAACTTTGTTTATGAATTGGAGAATTCCTGCCTTTTTATCTTCATCACCCAGAATTACTCCTATCATGAAGTTGGCGACTTCTCCTTGGTTGCTGATATTGTCTATTATCGGGTTCAGATTTGGAGTATTCCTTGAAATCACACCTAAAGTTTAGAAGGAGTAGCTCACTTGAGTTATTTAAAGGCCTGCCCAGTCACTCCTATTGTATTTGGAAATCTAATCACTGTCTCTGAGTCTAGCCCAACCATCTTTTGAGAAAACTCAGAGTTGATTTCTCCTGCAGCTCAAAGATCGTCTTTGACAGGGTCATAAAATAGGATTCCAACATCCTTGAATCCAAAGAATTTTGGTAGAACTTCTTTCCAATGAATTATGAGCCTAAAATTATTAAGCACAATTTTTACCTCGTCAGAGTGCTTTTTCTCATAATATCGCCAAGGAGGTTAATCAAGTTCTTTCCAGTTTGTTTCCTTATCATAGCATCCTTTTTAGAAGTAATAATCTCAATCCGTTTCTTAACAAACTCAAGTAGTATTTTAAAGGTGAATTCATCAAGAATGTTGAACCCTCCCTTGGTGATACTGATACTTTTAACAGTAGCAGCCATGTTATTACTCCCTCCGTTATTACTGAATTCATCAACCTCAGAGGTGTAAGAGGAATTATCTGGTTTAGATTCAACCATCCTGCTTGGAGATTTCTCCACCTCTACTGAGATTTTACACTCAGCTATCATCATAATGTCTGAGTAGGAATTTCCAACAGGCAAGATCATCACATCATTACTACGTGAGCCGAATTTAATGCTTTCAATATTTTTGAATGACGGGCTAACCCTTCCTGTATTGTTATTAGTGAACACATGATAGCTCACAGAGTCTATTGACCCTTTTGATAGAAATCTTGACTTCGAGACATCCATATTGAATATAATTTTATGGTAAAGAGACTCATCGAGTAGGTAAATATTTCTAGATGTTCATATTTTATCTTACATTTTTAACTCTCTATTCATGATTCGCTTCATTTCATCGACGCAATGAATAAAAGTATCTAGCAAGCTATCAAATTTAAACAGAGAACTGAGTGCTGAAGTAAGCCGCTCTATTCTGACAAGTTCTTGGCTGCCAGAGAACCCATAGGAGCTTGTTTCCCCTCGGCCTCTTCCTGAGGGGCTGACTCCAATTGTATTATTTCTATGCTTAAACGAAAAACTTACCTTCTATATGAGAAGTCATTAAGCTTAACAACTTTCTCTACATTTTTACTCTCCTTGACCTTAGTGTCAAGGACCTTCTTGTACTTCTTAACTTCCTCTACAGTAAGCCTGAGTGCCTTATTGTCCTTCTTGATTGCTTCAATATCATGTTGTTTGTATTTATTCTTGCCATTATGATCGTCGATTTGGATCTGGATCCTCTCCAGGTCATCCTTGAGATCCTTGATCATGAAGTTCTCATAAATATTCTCGGCTACCCTAGCGTTAATGGTGAAGGAAGAAGATGTAGTAGTAAGATCCTGCTGTGTCAGAAATCTGTTGGTCTTCATTAGACTAGTATTTTCTTCTAGGAGTGCTGTCTTTCGTTGCCTCTCTTCAACTATGGCATGCTTTTTCTTTTTAATCTCCTCTTCTAAAATTCTTAGTTTTTGAAGTAGTTCGATAGGAATATATTCTTGGGTACGGCTTGGTTCAGTTCGAAGTACTCGAGACCTATTACTTAACCCTCTTCTATTCTGAATAGGAGTCACAGGCTCTAAAAATTATGAATTCCTTACTGCTATGTCATATAAGATGATGTTTTCTGGTACTTCTTGCTAAGCTAATTTTAAATTTTTTGTTCTGGTGAGTACCCCTGGTCCTATCCTTTATATCAAACGCTAAAATTAATGAATTTAACCATACTTGTCTTATTCGAGCCAGTATTACATCTAAATCTTCTCCTCTTTATCGCAGACATATACCTTCACGTAATTTTTGAACTTGGTTTCTTAATTACTCTTCTGTGCTAAAACATATCAGCACCGCTATCACAGGTCCCAAAGAGAGGTCTTACTCGGCACGACTCGTGCATTTATAAAATCCTGTTCCAAATTCTGATGCGTAATACTCCCTGTCCTTCTTCCCTTGAGCTCTATAACTTCCGAAGAAAAGGATTCTTTCTTAAGCTTGTGCGTTCGGTCAAATTTGAGCTTTCTCTTTGTAAAGTGGGGCTTGTGCTTCTTAAGGTACTTTTCCAAAAAGGTGATATCATAGTTAGGCTTCTTCGCATCAATAGTTTTAATAGTGATGTTCTGCACGACTGGCTTCATATATGGAAAATATAATTCAATTATTCTCTTTCAAGATGGGGTTTTGGGGTTTTGGGGTTTTGGGGTTTTGGGG